GTCTGTAGATAATAACCATTCTTGTTCTACTATTTGAACATTCCATAGTTACGTCTATATATTCGAAGGAGATGAATTTCCTTTGAGATTGTGTTTTTATACGTATACTCTTCTTTAGTAGCACACCAACCCCTCCACCTCGTGAGTTTTTTCTTGAGATATGATGAAAATAGTATCCTTTAGGACAGACTTCAGCAACAGAAAAAGTATTATCGTGACGCAACCATGTCTCAGTTACTGCAAAAATGTCAATATCGTTTTCAACTGTGAAATCTTTAAGGATATAGTTCTTTCTTATTTATCGATCTTGTATTTAATAAGCAAAATTTAATCGGCACAAAACAGTTCTTTTGTCTGTTCGTGCATTTAACATAAGTCAGATTGTTCATATTAACCCGTCTTGGGCAGTGTTTTTTCGTACGATTCAAACGCTGAATTAATATAACAGGGATATTCGATGTAGCAAGTATGGTTTGTGAGCCTGCCATCATACCTTCTTTCTGGTTCCCTCAGTTTCGCTTCCTGTAGGCAGCTTTGCTTTGTGTCCAACTTTATTATCTAACTTTTCCTTGGACACCCACAGTTGGTCTACAGTACACGTGTTTTGGTCAGAAATCTTCCACAATCATCTTTTCAACATCTTCGGCATGGACATTCATTTTAGCGGAAAGCGTTCCTTTTCTTCTACTGGTAAATAAATTAAATAATGTCGGGGATATTCCCTTGCCATTCAGGTACTGTAGAATTGTTTCTTTCTTCGTAGTTTCTGCAATTCCACCAATATAATAGCGCTTAGTTTTTACACGATTCCGTTGGACGCCAATAAACTCATCGTCTAGTGATACTATACTTGAACTTTTAGTATTATTCCCTTTGGATTTTGCGGGTTTTTTACTTTCCTGTTTCTGATTTTGCTCTTTGTTTGGTCGGCGATTACTCACTTCATCTGCTGCTTCTGACTGTTTGACATAACAGCCGACCTGTATGAACGGGGTTCTTTCAATAAAGGGACGTTCAACACATTTTGTGTTGTGGCGTAATTATTGACAATATCCTCATTTTCCTTGCTTAAATTCTTATCCTGACCAACATGGTCACTGGATTCCTGAGATTTGCTTATGGATTTATTATTGCAGAACATGTTATTGCTACTAGGATGCATGCCAGGCAGACGCTCATTTTCTGACTTAAGCTGTTTTATTTCCGCATTTTGTACTTGTATGGTGGAGTCAAGCTCTGTAACTTTGGTTTTTAATTCCATAATTTGAGAAAGCATTCTTTCACGGAACAACATTTGATCGGATTCCATTGACGAAAGTTTGCTTTTCAACCCTGACCAACAGCTTAACGAACGATTTGTAATGTTTGGACTTATTAGCGATACGACTTTGAAATTGTTTATACTGTTGCCAGGCTCGTGATTGACCTTGTTATTTCCGTCAGCCACATTTGTAGTTGAATCCAACTTAATCAAAGCTTTAACTCCACTTGTCACAATTCCTGTATCGAGACAGTTCATTAACTCATAAACGTCATCAGCAAGACGTTCTTCAAGACTACTAAAACCACTGGAACTCTTAGGTTTTCGTCTAGACTAAAACTCTCTCCTTGGAAAGTCCTTGATTTCTTTGCACTTGTCATATAGTTTCAGCTTTATACTTGTCAATTCCTCAATATTCCTTTCCTCAACTAACTTCTCCACCAAAGCATCCCTCGACAAACATTGCCATTCAGATATGATTGCCGACAAATTAGCCATATTAACAAGACGGCGATAGAATTAACGGTTTCTTCACGAATAATAAAATTTACCGTCTTATTTCAGAAATTATGATGAACCAATATCTCAGGAAGATAAAACAGTTTGAAAACTTGAATTATTTGCATTAAAAACACTAAAAATATCCGCTCAAAAGTTGTATATTTTTGAAAAGTTGCAAAGTTGCAAAAAAAGTTGCATCCTCTTAAAAAGTTGCATCCGCCATGCAAAGCATCTTTTTACGAATGATATACTCATCAACCAACAGCATGGTTTCCGAAGCCATTTTTCCTGTGAAACTCGATTAATCACAGTGATTAATGCGTGGGCCAAGGGTTTAAATCAGAATATCCAGACAGATGTTATCCTTCTACATTTTTCCAAGGCGTTTGACTCAGTCCCACATCAAAGATTAATTAACAAATAAAATACTATGGTATACGTAACAAAACTGCGAATTGGATTAATGCATTTATCTCAAACCGCACCCAAGTCGTATCTATCAACGGCACTTATTCCAATCCGGTAGATGTAGTCTCTGGAGTACCCCAAGGGTCGGTGCTGGGTCCGGTTTTATTCTTACTGTATATCAATGACATTACCACAAACATTGATAGTACACTGCGCCTTTTTGCTGATGATAGTGTTATTTACCGAGAGATTCATAGTCACCAAGACCAGATCTTATTACAACAGGATCTGGAAATGCTACAGAATTGGGCCCACCACTGGCAACTAAATTTTAATGTCTCGAAATGTTATCATGTTAGAATAACTAAAAAGGTGAAACCCCTGATCTATAATATTTTTTGGATGGTGAAGCCATTTCCAGTACTCCTTCAACCAAGTACCTTGCCATAACAATAACAAATTATCTTAGCTGGAATAAACATTGCGATGTAATAACAAGTAAGGCTAACTGCACACTAGGATTGCTTAAGAGAATGCTGGGCGACTGTACCCAATAAGTTGAATCTAGAGCCTACACATGCTTAGTCCGTCCGCAGCTGGAGTATTCGTCATCGCTATGGAATCTGTTTACAAAAAGGAATGTCAAAAAGATTGAAATGGTCGAGCACCGAGCTGCAAGATTTGTAGAAAACGATTATTCTAGATACAGTCATGTTTCTCCAATAATACAAAAATTGGGTTGGGACACATTGGAGAATAGAAGACTTTTATCTCAGTTAATTATGTTTTATAAAATAAATCAAGCTTTAGTAGGAATTAATTTTCCATCAGAAGTCTCTATATCGGAGACATGGTTCACGACTACCAAACGAAATCCCCTATAACCATTTGCGAACTAGTATTAATGTATACAGGTATTCTTTTTATCTAAGAACTATTATTGCGTGGAACAATATCCCACTGAGAATGAGTAATCTTAGTAGTTTTTTCTGTTTTTAAGGAGCAAGCAATTGCTTTCGTGAGATCGTAGTCCATATCTTCTTTCTATAGTACATACTTAATAATACCGTATTATTGTAAATAGTTTCTGGTATAGTGTAAATTGTCTGAGGAGTACTTGATTAAAGATTAAGGACCGATGCAACCACAACACTCGGCTTGTTTTTTACAGAAATAATTTCCGACCAACAATATTCAACAAGCGGCGTAAAGAATTTTATATCAGGCCTGTAAATAGATTGTAGTTCATTAGACATGTAAAGGTTATTTTGAGGCAACGAAGGGATATGTGATTTATTCACCAAGGCGCGCAGCGGCGAGGTGAATAAACACAAATCCCCGAGGTGCCTCGAAATTACGTACTTATTTTTCACATTGCGAGGTCGCGTTAACGAGTCAAAATATAAAAATAATTCTTAATGCCATATTGCCTTCGTTATTGTGTTTTTTTTCTCATATTTTGTGCTGCATAGACATTGCAGGTGAATATTATAGGGGATTATTAGAGGCGATTATTAGAGCGCAATATTGAATATATTCCCCGGTATAAGAACAAAGGAAACCGAGCAGGGTGAAAAATAAGTAAAGACCTGCCCCGCCAGCCATAGTTGGAGAATCAGTATGGAAAAAATTATAATTATGGAGATCAACATTAACCACGTTGTTATTGCTTAGTTTAGTTTCGGTTATAGCTAAGATATCTGACCTACTATTCAAAGTATATAAGAAATCGTTCAATATGGATATGTTTTTGGGGAGACTTCTAATATTAAAGTGAAATAAAGAAATATTATCAGAACAGGAGTACTTGTCAAATAGCTGGTTGAGCTTAGGTAAAGAGTAATATTCAGAATTAAGGGTACACAACATTAGATCAGAATCCCTTTATCAAATCTATCTGGATTATGAATTACATTATAGATATCAAGATCACTGGTAAACACATAGTCCCAATTACCAATTAAAGCATTAAACTCGCACTCAGAATCAGGTAAATTAATTGATCAATAACTCACTGTTTTTATTGCTACTTTGTCCATCCATCGTTGCATATTATATTGATATATATTTGAGAATTCTGGATTAAGTATGCACATGTTCATTGGAACTGCAATCGACGAAATTTTGGAACTCTTCGTCAGTAGTCATACAGTGTACAGTAGAGGATTGTGCTTGGCGAAGTAAGATTTTTCCGTGGACAGTCAACAAAAAATTATAGCCAAAATGGCGCTTTCTAGTCGCTTTCTATAACCAGTCATGGACTCGTTAATGAAAATCTTTGTTGATTGGGCGATAGAATTGCCAATTTGGGCATTTACTGAAGGCAGACTACTTGACAATTTTCCATGAAGCTTTTGTCTCTTCTTGTAGATATCTTCACTAACGTCACGGCGTACAAATTTGACGATAATACAATTATGCATTTTCTTCGTTGAGGGAAGCCTGTGAGCCGTCGATATATCATTTTCAGTAATTTGAACTCCTAAAATTGGTCCAAGTTCCGTGATGAGCTTTTTTGGGTTATCGTCAGCCAAGATTGGTATGCCCGTTATCTCTAAACAGTCACGCCTTTGATATTGATTGATTTCATCATTGGCGGCCATGTTTTGATAAACACTATAGCATCTTGTGAGAATATGATGCTGTCTTGAGCTTTCAATTTTTGTTCGATTTGTTGCAATTTGCTTCTTAGTCGATTGGAAAATCTCCATTATTATCTGGTCATATTTTTCCGATAGGAGAGATTGAGACTTTTCGAATTCGTCAAGTCGGGTGTTTAATTCACGAATTTCACTGCGTAGTGAGTCATTCGCCGATTTAATTTCTTTACGGATTTCTGGCATGAATTCGTTTTTCCATAACTCTCTAAGACTCGCCATAGTAAGTTGTCTCGTTTCAGGCATTTCGAGTTTAATCACAGATGAAACTTAATGGGACGACACTGATAATTCTTTCACACACATTTATGTTCACGACGATTCTGTTTAATTACATTACGCAAACTACGTTTGGCACTCATTACTTCTATTGAGAATAAATAGGCACTTTGGCACTTATTATTCTATTGAGAATAAATATAGATGTATTAATACATCGTATCCATGATGTTTGAAAGGCATAGCTTAAAAGTGGACGGGTATTCCGCTATCGCTCCAAAAGAGTTTCAAAAAACAGTTAGAAAAGCAAAGAAAAGCAAGTAGGAATGGCGAATATAAGCTAATAAAATATGTCAAATGTCATCACCACACAAGATATGAAGCCACAATGTGTCCTGCTCAGATTTTGACATCTCAACCAAGCAATACAATACTTTGAAATCACCAATAAGAAGATTGCATGTCTACGATTGCATGTCTACGGAAAAAAAATTGTGGCGGCGTCAGGACGAACGACGGCTAAATAAACTATATGAAATAAATGATTTTATGGTAATATTGTCTTGTATTTAGTTTCGTTTGAATTTAATACTGTTTGGAACGAGTAAAACAGAGCTTTAACCTAATTCAGAGCAATTGTGATCAACTCCGCTAGAAAAATTGCCTGTCACGGTTTGAAATGCTAGCGTGACTATACGAGACATGGAACTATGCGTTTTGCCATCGTCAACAGAGCTTGGACGACGTCTAAACCCCTGACATTTAATTATTTATTTTCCGCGTGAAAATTATTTATTTTCCGCGAGCTTTCCGCGTGACTAAACCAACTTTTACTAACTCTGTCAAGATTACTCAAGTGATGAATATGGAAATCAACCAGCGTGGAAGCCCATTGTGATTTGGATATAATTTCTGGCTTCTGCTAAGATATTTTAGCTCACGAACTGCATGTCAACAGAATCGATTGTGCATTTTGTGTCGTATTGATGTAAAGTATGAACGTATTATTTGCCAGTTCATCTGCTTTATGCATTGCATGAAACACGAACACTTATATGGAGTTTAAAAATGATATAGCTACCAATTTAGATTTATAAAGTTTATAATGTTATTTATGTAGATATTAGGCCGCATTTTACACTATATTTACTTTAAACGCTACGGCAATTTTATTATTAAATACCATAAGCATAGCGTACTGAATTATACAATCAGAGTGCCAAGCGTAGTGGTTCGTAGACTCGTAGTTGATACCACTCCGTTATAGTTTATTAACATATTAGTATTTTTTTAAAGAATGCTAAATTCAACAGGCACTAAACAATTGTTGAGTTACGCAATTGCACGTTGACCAAATGAAAGATCATATTACAGACATGTATTGAAAACATGATATTTTCCTCTTACATGACTTGACTATATTTAGCTAAATTTTTAAGTTGAAAAATATATAGTGAAATATGATAAATATGGAAATACGATTTCAAAAATTATCAAAAATTTTCCATTAAATCACACAATTTTTTGATGTTCCCTTTGGAGTATTTCGCCGTAAAATCGCAGGAAATGGTCATTCCAGACTTCTAAAATTAAAAATTTTCCGGGTGAGCATGCCCCCGGACCCCCATAGTATGTGTGAGTTTTAGAGCAGGACCTGTCAAATTTCGCCAGCTGCGCCACTGACAATTTGACCTTGGAACTGGTAGGATCACACCGTATACTTTCTCCCGTAACAAGAGACATGAACTTTAATTTATTCCTTAATTAAACTGGGGCATGTTTTAAATGAATTGACTCAAACTATAACCATCTTACATATTCAGAGATTCACACGATTCGCACGTCTCGTACGAATCGTGTGTAATGAGCTTTCTTAATCTGGAACATGGAAGTGACGGAACTGATTGCGACAACATGTGGGAAATTTGTCGTCGCTGATCAAAAAATCGCGGGCAGAAACAAAGCTCCATTGTATTTACATTAAAAAAATAAGCAGAAAGTTAGCAAGAAGCTGTTTAGCTGATGATTTTTTGCTTTCTATTCGACGATTTACAAATTAACGGTTATTCTTTTAAAAATCGATCATGAATTATTTATTTGGGGATGATTTTTTTTGTAATTGAGCGATTGGAAGAAGTGAATATGGCGACGTGAACATGGGAGTAAATACCGTATACGTCGAGCAATGGTCCGCTTAAAACTGTAATAGACGAAGAAAAACGTGATATGAGAATGAAACAGTGTGACCAGTCGTGAATTTTCGAGAACAGGAACATTTTGGTAAAATCTGAAAGGATTTAATGATTAATAATAATTTTGGCAAAATTGTATGTTTCTTGTTTAATAACGCATGCTCAAAGTGATGAACAGAACTGCCAAGCCTACGAAATAAAGCCTTATCGTTAGCAAAAACTGCAACGGACGAAAGCAACGAGTATTTCGACACAACTTTTTGTGTATATTTTTTCTACTTTGATGACGCAACTATTGTTTTTAGGCATTATTATAACGTAATTATTGGATATTTGGTAAAATTTTCTTAATTTAGTAAAATTTGAATAAAATTTTGGTAATGACTGCTGAAAAAATCTGGTCACACTGGAATGAAATGTAAGTTGAAATTTATTTTATATGCCTCAAATTCTCCATCCTATTTTTCTTAACGTAACTTCAGCGGTCTAAGTTTAAAATACAAGCTCGCGAAATTTGACAAATTTTGAAAATCTGTAAAAGTTACCTTGACTTTGAACTGTATTTTCTTAAAAATAGCCCGTGGCCTCAATTTCAAATATAGGTAAATGAAAAGAAATTAAAAACCTTTATTTCGGCGTTTTTAGTTATCAAACATAACTTCAAGAAAATAGGGGCTCACAATGTTTTGAAACCCGCTTCGAGAAGGGTCTAGTTTGAAAATTTAGCTCTTAATTTCCATTTCGTCAGCATATTTTGGTTACACGTTAAATATTTTTGTACTTGATGAGATTCAAAATTTGTTGTATATTCAAGCCCGGCTTCAGTGTAATTTTGGTGATTACCGGGAAAGAAATGAACGGATATTTTAAAAACTGGCCGTGACCTCACGATAAAACTTTCTAAAAATGTTCTCTGTTTCACGTATTTTTATTTGATATCAAAGGTATAAGCGTCAAAATAGGGGCTCAAACAGTTTGTGAGGTTATAAAATGCGCGACTTGTCTCCATAAAACGTTCGAAATGTTTCGACAGCAAAGTAGCAAGTGTTTCACTTTCAGATCAAATGCACATGGATAGCGCACCAGGGACAATGGCAGGGTACTGAAATAGAACATCACTAAAAAATGCTGTATGATTAATTTAGATCATGTCCATTTTCAACATAAAACAGTCATTTATTTTGTACCAAACAATTGGCAATATTTACATAATTGCATGCGCCGTTTGTAAACACGTGTTGCGTGTATTCCACGCAAATGCGTGGCTCATTTTGCTCGCGTATGCTCAGACAAATTTACCCACCTGCTGATTGCGACAATATTTTTGTACTTATGTATTTCATATCTTCAA